GGCTCGAACTCACGAACCGTGAGATCGTGACCTGAGCTGAAGTTGGAGGCTTAACCGACTGAGCCACCCAGGCGACCCTATACTTTTTTTTTTTAAATGTTTATGTATTTATTTTGAGAGAGAGTGAACGTGAACAAGGGAGGGGCAGAGAGAGGGGGAGAGAGAGAATGCCAAGCAGGCTCTGCACTGTCATGGGGCTCGAACCCCGGAACTGTGAGATCATGACTTGAGTCAAAATCAAGACTCGGACACTTAACCGACTAAGCCACCCAGGCAGCCCAGAAAGTAATTGTTTTCATTGTCATGGCCATCATCATCATCATCATCACCACACTTCCTCTCTCTGGAAGTTTAAAAGTTGCCTCAAAAAAAGAAAAGAAAAAAATAAGTTGCCTCATTTCCAAGATGGTCTAAACCAAGCAATTGGAGGTTCCTTCTATCCTGACATTCCATAATGACTGGTTTTGACTGGTTTGGGAAGTGCCACCTCAGCCTTCAGATATTAAAATCCTTCTGTTTACAGTCCTGGAGGAAACAAATATATATCCAACTTAGAAACTGGAGTATCTCTTTCCCTTTGCACCAGTTTTAATTCACATGGATGCCAGTGAGATTTATCAATATGTTTGAAGAGGATATGAAAACCTAACATTTGCATAGATCATTTGCAGTCAGTCCCTCAACTTTCGCTCCCAATCAAACCCTTAAATGCATGCTTCTAGATTAATAGACAGACCTGGCGGAACTACATTAACGGAGTTCAGTTTAAAAACCAATATAAGGGGGGGAGGAAACTATTAGAGAAGCCAGAGGGATGAACAGGGAGATTGAAATCTTAGAGCTATTCATTTTTCAGAGGGTTAATATTGCCTCAAAGTGTTAGTATTAATTGTCTGGGAATCATTACAGATACACTGGTCCAGTCATTCAAGTAAATATATTTTGGCTTATCACCTCGCAAGCTGAGCTTGCGTTTTCCGGGTTCCAGTGGTGAGGACAATTTAATACCGCGTCCTCAAAGTAATTTTATTTGATTGTATTTTTGCGCTTTCATTTTATTTATTTTTTTTTTTTAATTTTTTTTTTCAACGTTTATTTATTTTTGGGACAGAGAGAGACAGAGCATGAACGGGGGAGGGGCAGAGAGAGAGGGAGACACAGAATCGGAAACAGGCTCCAGGCTCTGAGCCATCAGCCCAGAGCCCGACGCGGGGCTCGAACTCACGGACCGCGAGATCGTGACCTGGCTGAAGTCGGACGCTTAACTGACTGCGCCACCCAGGCGCCCCTTGCGCTTTCATTTTAAAATGGGCACGCCTGATAGTTGAGGAGCACACATCGTTACGAGTCATCTAGTGAAACCTGATTTGGGAAGCCTTGATAGGAAATGTTCAAAAGCTACCTCGAATCTCTATGTTCTCGTCATACCCAGACATCTTCACAGGCTACGAGTACAGGCTCTGGAGTCAGACTGTGAACTTTGTAATCACTGAGGGAAGTTTCATGGAGAACCTGATCAGTCTGATTTGCAGGAACATGGGAAATCTTCCTGAAGCCAGTCCATGTGAAGGCAGCAATCCGATGCCATTTCTTTTGTTTGTTTGTTTGTTTGTTTGTTTTGACATTTTTAAATGCTTTTTTTTTTATTTGTATTTGAGAGAGAGAGAGAGACAGAGTGCAAGCAGGGGAGGGGGCAGAG